CCCCTAACCCTAACCCTAACCCTAACCCTAACCCTAACCCTAACCCTAACCCTAACCCTAACCCTAACCCTAACCCTAACCCTAACCCTAACCCTAACCCTAACCCTAACCCTGTTTGGGTTGTCATCTGTTAGGCATGCTTCATGTTTCCTCACTCATCTACATGGCCCGAAGGGTTCAACCCTTGTATTGTACTAATCAATTCATGTTTATCTTCATGTCCTCATGAAGGGAAGACTTCAAGGTGCCATCCAGTCTTGGAATTATGTTTGTGGCTATTGTATTTGTGTGAGGGATATTTGTACAATTATGGTCCCCTAATAGACCATTGGGCCCTTAGCCCACTGCTAGGGTAGGGCTTAGGGCCCTGACTTGTAACCCTGCCTTGAAGCCGCAATCCGCTGTTTCAGTTAACTTCGAGTGGAGCAACCCTGAAAGTGCATTCAACACGGTCCATGAAAGTCAGCCAATGGTTTATATACATACAGAACCACTAAATAAGAGGACATCATGCATGAAGGATCGAATTACCGGAATCTTTGGTACTCGTCATCTAGGGGTTATTTACAGCATTCTCGGCTGTTCCGTTCTCGAAGAATGCACGCATATTTCCCAATATCTCTAATTCGGCATCGTGTACGACCCTCTGAGTCCCACCACCATGATGGGGCAGGACCGTACAACGCTCACAGGAAAGAAGTTCCGGATGAGGATGAGGTTCGTTCTCATAAACGTCGAGGCCGGCTCGAGCAACGTGGCCGGACTTGAGCGCTGCAACAAGAGCAGGTTCGTCAATTACTTATCAAATCTTGTCAGAACATGACTCTCATCTAACCAATTAGTCATACCTTTTCCCCGGGAGGTGTTGACAATCATCACGCCTTGTTTCATCCTGGAGAACTCCTTCTCGCCGATGAGATGAAAAGTATCCGGAGTCAGGGGACAATTCAGGGAAATAACATCTGCCGTAGACAGTAACTCTTCAAAAGAAACGTACTTGGCCCCGTTTTCCTCTAATGTACAATGAGATTTTAGTGGCGATTTCGGGTGAACCACATACCGGCCTCGGGTAGTTGTCGCCTATTGCTGTAAATGACCTTGGACCCGAATGCTTGGATTTGGTCGCGAACAATCTGCCGCCTAGGTCAGACGCTAGATAATACTTCCACGAGGATTGCTCACCCTGCCGATTGTTCCCATGCCAACAATGCCAACAACCATATCGCGAGTGTCGTTTGTAAGACCTGCACCGCCTTTCCATTCACCTCGACGTGTGCTAAGTTCCAACTGGGATGTCCAGCGTACGCCTGTGTGAGATCAGGTCGATGTTTGTATGTGAAAGAGAGCTATTTCTCATACAATCAAGAATAAGCATGGTAGTCGTCGTAGCAGTTGGGCTGGGGGTGAAGTGAGCGTGCAGCAGATCACTTGCGAGCCAGGGCGTACTGAGAGACCGCATTGGGCGAGTTAACGTAGTAGGCACCGAGCTCATTTGTCACCCAATCCATATCAACGTGGTCAAATCCGGCACCATGACCGTTAATATACTTCAAGGATCCTTGCAGGCATCCTATGAGTTCTTCATTGACAAGTCCCTGCCAAACGGCACCAGGCATAAAGGCAATCGCATCGTACTTCCCCTTCGGCAGCTTGGGGAGCTCCTCGAGCAATTGCTCACGGGTCTCATCTCCGAGAAGCTGACAGTCATGTCAGTTCTGTGTCCAGTGAAGGCGCGCGATAGGTTCAGCGTACCAGCAGCTCATGTTTCTGCCCAAACTCCTTCCATTCCTCCGTCGCTTTGCGGATGTCCCCGGAAATAATAGCTGCGTGTTTCGACATGGCTGCAAATGGAACAAAGATGTCAGCTATTTGGGGCTATCTTTGGTCTGAGATAAAGAAGCAGATTGTCGGGGAAGAAGCGGGACAATGTGGGCGACATGGTAAGTAAACTATAAGGTGCGGTCGGTGTCCTCCACCCGGTCGTAACCAACCAAATTAGAAGGACCCTGCTCTGAACAAGTGACGTCGGAGACCCTGCCAAGTCGATTACTTCTAACCCATCTGACTTTCTATCTTCTAACTTTTACACAGACGGCGTGTTCACCGCGTGAGGGGCAGTACCAGTCTGCAGCCAGGTCCGAACATTGCCAAGAATCTCCAACTCCCCATCTAGCAAGACTCGCTGTGTCCCGCTTCCATGATGCGGGAATACAGTGCATTTATCTGATGTGAGAAGATATGGATGCGGATATGGCTCGTTCTCAAACACATCCAGACCGGCTCGGTCGACGTGCCCTGATTGTAGGGCAGCAACTAGGGCTTGTTCGTCAAGAACTGGTGCAAGGTCAGGCGCGACGCTGCAGGAGAAGTTCCAGGATACACTCACCTCTACCCCGAGAAGTATTAACAATCATGACACCTTTCTTCATCCTCGCAATCTCCTTCTCCCCAATGAGGGAAAAGGTATCCGGGGTGAGGGGTGTGTTCAACGAGATGAGATCGGCATCTTCAATGAGTTTGTCGAACGAGACGAAAGTCGCGCCTTTCTCCTCTGCGGCGACGTCAGACTTGGCCCAGAAAAAGAAAGACAAGTAGCACACCGTTGGGAGGCAAGCGGTTTCTTTGCGTGTAGATGACCTTTGTACCGAATCCTTGTATCTGATCTCGCACAATCTACATGAAAGGATCCGTTATCTTCCAACTGTCTCATACTGCGACCGCACCTTTCCGATTGTACCAAGCCCAATAATACCGACGACAACGTCTCGTGTGTCGGGTGAAAGCCCTATATTGTTCTTCCAGTCTCCTCGCCTTGTACTCGCTTCCATCTGTGTTGTCCAACGAATGCAGTCCAAAATTAGAATTGTAGTTGCGGTTGCGGTTGGACTATGAAGAGGTGAGACGGAGGAGGAGGTCAACCAAGCTATGCTCACTGGGATACTGCACCCGGGTTGTTCGTGTAGAACGCTCCGAGCTTGTGGGACACCCAATCCAGGTCAACATGATCGTAGCCAGCTCCCTGTCCATTGATATAACGCAGGCCGACGCCCTCAAATGCGCCCAGGAGCTCCCGGTTGACTGCCCCCTGCCAAGGACTCCCTCCCATGAACGCTATCGCATCATACTTACCCGTTGCTGCGAGCTTAGGCAGTTCGATAATGAGCTCGTCGCGCGTTTTGGTTCCCAGAAACTGTCTAGCTGTTAGAGATTTTGTTGGTGACATGATGATCTGATACCTACGAGAACCTCGTGCGTCTTTGCAAGCTCTTCCCATTCAGTTTTCGCTCGCTTGATTTCCCCCGAGACGATCACAGCGTGCCTCTCCCCAGCCGCTTTAGCAACACTGTTTCCCATCTGCGCTGGTCGTCGTTGCCAGATGAGCCGGACATATCAGAGATAACGCGGCAAGACTTTGCGCCTGGAAGCTGGAGAACGCGTCCAGATCAAGTCGCCATATGGTGCTCGGATTGTTCAAGGATACGCGCAATCCTGACGACTGATTCCGCCTCAAAGGGTGAACACCCTCCACCGAAGCCACGATCCCTGAGATTTGCAGACAGCCAAATATTGTAACGGTGCTACATTGATGGAATTTATTGCTACAATGGATTGAATGCTGGACTCGTCACCTCTCAGACATCTTCTTGTTTCTGTTGAAGTCGCCAAACTTTGACTGTCCCATCTCCACTCGCAGACACCAGCTCTCCAGCCCGCACTGGATGCTGCTCTACCCACGTTATGACCTTATTGTGAACTTTCCGTGGTGGATTTTCTCCCAGCGGTTTGCTCTGCTCATCATTCAGTTTTTGATTTACATTAGGCTTCTGAAGATGTGACCCACATCCAACAGATCCCACGCCCAGATGCGGCCGTCTTCGTCACCGCAGATAACACTTGCTTCCTGATGACCAAAAGCTGCGCGAGACCTATACTCTTTGTTTCGGTGGCCAGTGAAAGTCGCAAGTGCAGTGCCGGCACTATCGTCTAGCAGGATGACTTTACTATCAAGGATAGTAGCGAGGACCGTTTGTAAGTCAGCTGTGGGTAGGACCGATGTCACCGGGTCTACAAGAGATTATGTCAGAATCCGCGAGAGTCAGCGGAGTTGATTATCCACGTCCACATACATCCAAGATAGTCGGCCCGTAACTCGCCCTTCCTCATATCATATGTTCGCACGTGTCCGTCTACAGATCCGGTGTAGATCATATGCGACGCAACGTACACTGAAGTGACTGAATCGTGAGCTTCGTCGAGCGTTTGAATTGGAGTCCGGACGCCTTGAGCCCTTAGAGCGAAGAGATCAGCCTTCTAATTTGGACCGTTCGGAAATCCACCTACCTCAGATCCCAGAGGTTGACCTTTCCATCATATGACCCTGCGCATCGTGAGCCTAGGCTTGACGACATCGATGGACGAGACTCACCACTAGCAAGCACGGAGGCATCAGTGTTGAATTCTACTGCATTGATACGACCCATGTGGCCGGCTAGCCTGCGAATAGTCTGGCCGGTGCTGATGTCCCAATAAAAGACGCTCCTGTCACCTCCTCCACTGGCGAACTTGGAGTTGTCTGCGGTGCTGTTTAAGTCAGACCTGCACTGAGGAAGTATGCAGGATAGGACAACGCACATTGTCAATGACAAGACTTCATATCCATGTCCCTTGTAAGTCTTAATCTCTGTTCCCTGCTCCGGGTTGAATAGGCGAATGGTACGATCTTGACCACCAGAGAGGATGTATTTTGCTGCTCCCTTTGCATAACGAACCACATGTACGGGCCCAGAGTGTGCGTCGAAAGTATGGTGGAGATACCTCGGAGTTGGCGGTGGTCCTTTTGCATATGCCATAGCCGATATCACCCGATCCCAAGTATGAGAATTTTCCTAGTTAGGCAGAGGGTTGATATGAGCAACTGAGATGGCGCATTTCGTTATGTTTTTTTTTCAGAAGCGAAACATGGGCAATGGTTCTAGGTTTTCAGGGACAAACAAAGCGCCCAGGCCGTGCGGGGCCTCGCCGCCACCGCCTCTTCTTCGGTTTGTGATTGGCTGAGAGGTGAGTGGCGATGAAGTGGGTAAGCCCTTGCCATTTTCCCCAGCTGAATTTCATTGGGGGGGGAAGCGCCTGTGAAGGGGGAGCCTGTGCTCCCCGTTGTTATCAATCACCCCGCCCCTTCTTCCGAACGCGTCACGTCACGGCTGGACCTCCCTCCAGGGTATCGGTTCTTCACACGACTGTAAACGTGTATAAACCCAGTGGGGCAAGACAGCGTACGATGTCCATCCCACCACCCTCTTCACAAATGGCTACCACCTCCGACTCTCCAGGTAAGCAACGTCTGACTCCTCAACAAAGTTAGTTCATGCTCTGTATACAGAAACTATCCGTCTACTTGCCCATGCTTTGAAGAACATTCGCGCAACCCCACCCCGTATCATTTCATCCCCTGCTACGTGCGCTGGCTGCTTCCTTTAGCGTCTGATGTACCCCACGCTAACCATCAATCAGACAACCCGCAAGAGCGAGCGTAGCGATTATCGTCCGCGTCCGCCCTCCTCCTTCCGCATTCATCGCTCCTCCCGCTCAGCCAGTCACCTTGCAAAACTTCTTCTCTCAGCCATGGGTCAACCATCCACAGTCACGCGCCGAAGTCCTCTTCTTGCCTCGCACCGACACGCTCGCCTTCCCTGGAGGGAAGCAGCATACAGAAGATGAGGGCTCCCTCTACACCGCTATGCGAGAGTGCTGGGAGCAAGTTGGCATCGACCTTGCCGATTCGAAGGAGTACGAATGTGTGGGCCAGATGGACGATCGGGAGGTGACGAGCAAGCTGGGAAAGCGCTTGTTGATGGTGCTCACCCCTTTCGTCTTTCTGTGCCTAACACCGGATGGTGGCCAGGTTGACTTCGGTGAAGTGAGTGCATATATGCGCAATTTTCATGTGTTATCGTACTCACGACGCACACCCAGGATGTTGAACCCGACTCGAGGGCGTTTTGGATCCCTCTTTGCCTTCTTGCGACACTCACCCCGACCATGGGCACCATATCCCTGGACGTCGCTTCCCGCATGGCACCGCAGTCCCGCATGATCCGGCTTGCTCTACGAACAATCCTGCTAGGAGGACAGATGCACTTTGGCGCCATTGTCGTCTCCTCGCAGCAAGTGACAATCGTTCTTCCGTCTGCCGGAGAGAAGGGTAAATGCCGTGAACTCGAGCCAACGCAGCAACACGGTTTGCACATTGAAGAGCTACGAGTATGGGGAATGTCGCTTGGAATGACACTCGACCTCGTTGCCCAGATGCGTGCAGGCACGACCGACCTCTCCTTCCCACGGCCGCTGTCTATGTCCCTCACCTCCATCTTCCCCCGATTCGATATGCCGGACGTCAACTTCTGGCTCTGGGCCTTCGGAAAGCGGTACCGCAAAGTCATCCGCGGATGGAAAGAGAGCTATCGTACAATGGGCGCGCACGATCGGAGGATCAATTGGTCTGGTTCAGCTCTGGCGAACTTCTATGCCAGCGTGCGCAAAGCGTTGATTATGACGATTGTCTTCAGGGTGTTTTGGGTACTTGTGGCTTTCATCGTCTGGATCCGCTGGTAGGTGTCATCCGGTATTCCTCCTGCTGTTACCTGTTGTGCAATTTCCTTTCCTTGCGGTGTCTGTTCTGGTTTCTGTTTTCATGAACCCTCGTAAACGATCATGCGATACTGTGTTTCTATTGTGATGGGTACTATTTTCATCACCCCCTGTCAATCTCCCAAAATGTATATAGACCCTGCAATCCATTCAACCCGTAGATCCGCCCACAATCGGGTTGCTGTCTTGCTAGAGTCAGCAGGATATGTTACCATGTGCACGGGTATGCTACATGTATTCGCATGTCGTGGGAAGATGAGAGAGCACAGAAGTGTTTTCGAACGACCACCCTCAAAATTCCCGTAGGGTTTAAAATCTTCCAGGCACAGAAGCAACTTTTCTGTCGGCGTAGAAGGTGATAACTGCGGCTGTAGGCTGATAAAGAACCATCAAGCAAAGGACAGAATCGGGTATCAGAATATCGAATTACCGAGCTACGTGTCGATTGGGGCCTTGTAAGTCACAAGCCCAGTTGAGACCCTTCAAGTGCTTGCTAATACAATCTCTGAATTGACAGTACTCAGTACTAGTGTACGTTACGCTTCTATCCCTCACTTGAACTCCAGAACGCTGTGGCGTGACATTGCCGGTTAAGACCCCGCATATGACGTAGAGGGCGTCCGGGGTAATTCATTCCCCCGCACCCGTCCCCTGCACAGCGTGTCCTTTGTTTCACGCAAACCCGCGCTGTGTATTCAACGCTGGGACATGATCGGCAGCCATCATCAACATACCCAGCTTTGGGCATCTTCTCTCGATTCACGTGAGACGAATTCTGTCAATGTCCAATCTTCTTGAGTCTACCAGAAGAACGATCACCAGTCGTCTGGTTCGAGCTTCTTTCACGTTGACCCGACCGCCTTCTGGAATGTAGTCACCAGATACTCCGAGATCGACGATCGGTCATCGATTACAGGGGTTTATCATGCGGAAATGAACCATTGACATGCATTACGCCCGTCCCACACGCTGGGCTCTAGCATAAAAAGGCCCAGGCATCGTCATCCTCTCACGACGACCCCTCGCCTTGGACCTGTTCTTGTTTCTTCTCCAGTCCACTCTCGCTGTCTACAATGTCCACTGCTGATCTCGAGAAAACCCCGCACGCGATCGAGGCTGTGGGAACAGAAGGGACGAACAACGGGAACGCCTCACCGGCCTACCATGCTGTTGGCGAGAAAGGTAGCGACCAGCAAGTCGAAAACGTTCTCGAACACGAGTTGACCGCTCACCTTGAACTACTCGATGCGGCACATCAGAATGGACGTCTTGTCGTCGAGATCGAAGAAGCCCGGCGCGAATATGGCGCGCATGTTGCGGTAAAGTTCAAGCTTACTCCAGATGGCAAATATATTCTCTGGCCGCAGCCTACGGAGGATCCGCGTGACCCACTGAATTGGTCGTGGAACAAGAAGATGCTTACACTCGTGGTCCTGACGATGGCCTCGATCGTCCCTGACTTCAACTCGAGCATTGGAATTGCGTGCTTGTTTCCACTCGCAGAACAAGTTCGTAATCTTCCAGCCGGGTGATCCACGCATGCTAACTGTGTTGTAGTTCAATACCACTGTGAACCATGTCAAGTATGCGCTTTTGCTGAATGGACGAAACTTCCTCTGACGATGCAACAGCAATTTGACCTCGAACTGGTCCATCTTTCTGTTGGGCCCGGGCGGTGTAGTCGCCGTGATTCTCGTCAATGGTATGCACCGGCTCTATCCCATGGGAAACACTGGCAGTCTACTGAGATTGGACTGCAGTAATCGGACGTCTTCCTATCTTGTTCTGGTCCCAAATCCTCGGAGTTGCCTTCCTGATCGGATGCACCGTGGCCCCAGATCTGGCGACCGTTGCTGGTATGCGATGCCTCAGCGCCTTCTTCAGTACAGGTGCGCCTCGGGCACTCTTACTTTTGTGAAAGAACTAAACGGGGTTTGCAGCACCCCAAGTCACTGGTCTATTCATCGTGCGCGATATGTAAGAGTATAGTATGGCCTTCTGAGACCCGGTCACTGACATCCACATTTAGCTTCTTCTTTCACCAGGTAAACACACTGCCCATCGAGTCTAGAGCGCCGATTGATCAATAATCAGGAAGCTCGCATGCTGAACGCCTGGGCATTCGGATTCGTCGTATCCCCTTACTTGGGTACTCCGTCCATCTGCTGTGTCATTCCCCAGTTTTGACCATTTTCAGGACCGTTCCTGTTTGGGTTCCTGGTTCAGAGACAAACCTGGCGCTGGGCTTATGGAATTGGTTGCATGTTAGTAGAAGGTCAGGTTTTCAGAGCCTTGCTAAACAACTCCCAGATATGAGGGGATTGTTGTTCTTCTCATCGTCCTGTTCGTCGAAGAAAGTCGGTAGCATTATTTCCAGTGCCTACCCAAATGCTGACAAAACTCCAGCATTGTACGAGCGCGACAGCAAAGACCGCCCTAAGATCGAGACGGGCATGTGGGCGCGCATCAAGGCACTGGTTGGCATTACTGGATATCAGCGTCGGCACTTTCATATGCCCTTCTGGACCTCATTTTGGAGGCCCTTCCTTGTAAATTTCCAACCTCAAGAAATCCTTTCGTGGGTATGCAACTCCGCGTCTCTCAGGTGGCTAACGCTAGTTGCAGTCTTGCCTACGTCGCTCTGAACTTTGCATGGTAAGTCCACATAAGAGCAGTCTGCACCTTGTCTTCTAACACCCAGCGCAGGGCAATCGGTTCGCCGCCTGTCTACCTCCTGATGCACTACAGTTGACAATGACATTCTCCCCGTAATTAGGAATCAACACCACGTACAGCACCTTCCATCTTCCAACAGCCAAGCAGCTAACACCTCCCCCAGACTAGTGGTCTTCTTGCAGTCTCCTCCGCCATTAGGCTATTCGTTCTCTGGTGGGTCTCACATCTTCCCACATCAACTATTTTCACGCGTTGCTCTCAGGGGACGCTGTCGCTGTATTCTATCTGACTCCCATCATTGCAACGGTTTTGGGAGAAATTGTGTCCCATTACCTGCAAGTAAGTGTTCGCCCGACCTTACCCATTTATTAACCCCCCCTGACTTCTTGAAGGATTTCTTCACAAATCGATATATTCGGCGCCATAATGGTGTTTTTGAGCCAGAAGCACGACTTTGGATGTGTTACATCGGCTCGACACTGAACTTCGCAGGCTTGATGTGCCTTGGTGGGACATTACAAAACCATGCTAGCATTGCCGGTCCGTCGCCCAAACTCTCATGCTCATGAAACCCAAGTGAATAACGGTACACATAGGCTTGGTGTTTGGATGGGGCCTATTCACACTTGGCATGATGATCATTATCTCTGCTATGTACACCTACATGTCCGATGCCTTCCCTGCATATCGTAAGTGATATGCCCTTCTGACAGAGAAAACATTGCTGATACATGCGCTCATACAGAGGGTGAAGTCAGCTGGTAAGATTATCGACACCCAGTCTCGTCTCTCTCTCACACCATCTAGCCTTTTCAATCTCTGGCGTACCTTTGCAGGGTTTGCAGTGGCGTACTTCCAGGTTCCATGGTCAGAGAAATCAGGCGCACTAGTCGTATTTGGGTGTGAAGCCGCCATTGTCGTCTTTATTTTTGTCGCAGTTGTGCCCATTTTGCAGATCTGGGGCAAAGCCATACGAGTGAGTATGATAATCGTACTTGCTCTGGTGGCGACGAACTTATATGTATGGTAGACCCGCTTCTCCAGCCTAAGTGGACATTGAAGACGTACCACCATCGAACACTGGATTGGCGCCGCAGAACTTTCTATCTCTCAAAGCCATGTACTTTGCGTTGAATATAATCAGGTACAAGAATGATGAAGTCATATATGGGACACAGCTACAACAGAATTCAAGAACGCTACGGATGTCCATATCGCGTCTGGTAAGCTAAGTTTTGTTATACGTGAGTGAAGAAAAAAACAAGAACAAACCAAAAATATATGCACAATGAAGAACAACAGCTTGTTACAGAATTAATGTTCAACCCTTCAGACTGAACCGTGAAGGACTCCCTTTCGACGGTGTCTGTACCTTACTCAGTCCGCTCATGGAAATGCTATTTCGTGGCGGTGTTTGACCACCTGGACTGCTGCCAGGTGAGAATTCAAGCCGTACATGCAATTGGCCTTCAGGCGAGAGTTCAACCCAAGTATCGGCCGTGGAGGCAGTAGCTATTTGGGACCAGATCTACTGATTGTCAGAAAAGGGACAAATATTGCACGAGGAAGCACTTACATCTACATGTGCTTCCGCCAGCTCCTTATCTTTCCCGATCGTTCTGTGATCAAGCACCGTCAGGCTTAATGTCTTGATAGCTGAGGTGATCATGAAGGGAAAAGTCTCGTCCCTGATATGTTGTCAGTTTAATCACAAGACCCCAAACTAGTTGACATACCATTCTGGTGAAGTCCCCTTGGCATGCTTTGTTTTAAACTCTTTCTCGGCGACACGCAAATGCACTTCAGGCTTGAGAGAATCACTGCCTGCCAGACCCTTCGCGCTAACGATGCGGACCCGGAGATATCCTGTTTGTGAAGGGCCATCCATACCCACAGCTTCTCGACCAGCAAGCACGGAGGCTAGTACGGGAGCCGCGGCCATACTGGCTGGGACTGCGCTAGCAGGTGCAACTTCTTCTTCGGTGATTACGTTGCTGTTGTCCTTGTCCTTTCGGCGAAAGATGTTGGTCGCTTTGCTGACTCCAGCACCAATCCCGGACCCCACGTCGCTGATGCCATGCCCAATGCCGCTGCCCACTCCAACGACACCCCCAGCAATGCCAGCAATTTCAGTTACCCCTTGCCCAACACCAGTGACAATGGCACGTCCCCCGGCAAGTGGCATAGTGCCAACACGCGTCATTGCTCTCCCAACGTCACCAAAAGTACTCGTAGGTTGCCGTTGACGAGCAATGATTTGAGGAGTGAAAAGCAGTCGAATCTTGATCTCACCAGAATTTCCATGCTTGTCATCGGCAATGGGGATTGACACTTCAGATGCAACAAAAGGCTCCAGGCTGGTGATGTCAACGGCTCCCTCCCCGAGTGTTCTGTCGTTCTCAATCTGGTTCCAGTCGAATACCTCAAGACTGAATTGGGCGTCCACCCGAGACGTCTACGAGAACTCAGATATGTCACAGATTTGGGTCAACAGACTTACCACCATCATACTGAAATTCTCGTTCCACTCAGGCTTAAGGGTCTTTTTCTTCGTCTCGGATTTATGGACCCTCTGTCCGTTGAGCTTGAAGACGACGAAAGGATCGGATGTACCGCGACGGTCAACGCCGCGGATATTATCTCCGTACAACAAGGTGACCGAAAGGATGCCCATATCTGCTTCTGCGTCAGTTTTGTCGCCGTCGTGCACCAACCTACTACGCACTGTTGACGCTCTCGCGCGGTTCCAGGACAACATGTACCGGAATATAGCGCGTTTGAATCTCCACTGTGCTCTTGTTGCCACCATTCCGAGTTAGAGTGAATGTTGATGGCTTGTCCTGTTAATTTCGTTGATTAAATTACTGTCATGATACCTGGGCTTACGAACCAAAGTCATCTCCAAGAACTTCTTGGTGTCCATTTTCAGCTCGGCGACAATCTCTTCCTTGTCTCCTTCGTCGTTCTGATTGAGGCGGAGACACAGCTGACTGAAATCGAGCTCCTTGACGAAGCCTTCGCCAGCTTGTTCCCACCTAGCATGGGGGCTTCGAGGTTGGATGGTCCCAAATGCTGGCCAGTAGCTCTCATCTAAAAGAATCTCCAATCGACTCTTCCTGGCAAGGTGGCCGGAAATGACGTCGAACGCAATGATGCCAGATTCTATGCTTTGGTTAGACGTTGCTTGGTAGGCAAAAGCGAATGCTTACGGCTCTCAAGAACCTCCTTGGAAGTCATCTCAACCCCTTCATCCACACGCGAGTCATCATCTGACCTGACACTGTCAATCGAAGGTCCCCGTTTATGACTCTTCACAGCTGCACTATCGGAATTGACTTGAGGGGTTGCTGGCGTTATGGTGATCTGGGCAGTGGGAGCAGGGGGATTCACTGGGGAGCCACTGTGCTCACTTCCATCGGTGTCTGCACTTCGAGGAGTCTTCACCACAACACCGTCTGCATTCTGAGAAGCGTTGGCCTGAGCAATGTTCTCCTGGATCTCATTGCTCTCGCCTTTGAAAGTGGCGTTTTTGAGATGGACGCCTGGCAGGAATTCGGCTACATAAAATAGCTTCCCCTTGAACGCGCTCTTTCCTCTGTCCAGGCGGATCGGCTCTGCGAATGTACGTTTTCCCTTGGACTTGTAAGGGATGCGAGAATCGCCTCCCACAGAAGCAAGATCGGCAATCTTGAGCTCAACGGAACCTAAAGAGCGATCCTAGGTTCGACCTCAGTACTGATTGGGTGGAACAAGAGAGGTAACTGTACTTTGGTCAAGTTCTGATAGTCCATAAGCTCCAGCATCAGACTCTCCCGCAGTTGATGCACTGGGACGTAAATGATCTGGTCCCACTCGGGATTGAGGTCTGGTACGATGGTTACTTGCGGGCGCGGTCTGGGTACAACTCACGCTCACTGTTGTTCACGACTTCGGTGCGAACCTTGATCACACCATTCAGCATGACCCGAACATAAGGGTCGCTCTTGCCGCCCATGAGTGCCTCGACGTTCTGTACCTCACTGGCCTTCTGAATCCATAGTCTGACGACGCCAATAGGAGGCACGTAAGCACTTGCTCCTTCGATGCTACCAGCCATATTGAGCGGTTTCCATTCTGCGCTCATGCGTAACCAGCCGGTCTTGCAGTTTACCAGAGGGAAGCGATCACGCTCTGCTTCTCCCGCTTTCAAGAGGTCATCAACGGTGATGCTGAGGCGACCGACGACAGGGTCAGAAAGGATGTCACGGTCGTCAATGATTTCGACACCGATCAAGGCGTTCCGCGCATGCCGATCGTGAACAAGCATCTCCTTAGGGGCCTCCCACACAGGATTATTGGTGCCCTTGGCGAGCTTTGTTCTGAAAATTTCCTGGCCACCGAGGAGCAGCTTTGCATAGGGGTTGAGTTCGCGGACAGTAAGCCCACCAGATTTGGAGGTGTCCAATTTTTTGGCCTGATGTATCGTAACACGAAGGATACCAGTTTCTAGAAGCTAATCAGCACAATCATTCTTGTAACAAAACAGCACATACTTGTGTCGGGCAAAGGCTCTAGCTCCCCGTCTGGCCCCTTCTGGGGCTTCAGGACAGGGAAGAAGGAACTGTCATGAATTGAGAAGCTGGAAATATCCGACTGAATGATGACTTACACGTCGAATTGCAGCTCGCCTCTTACCTGTCCATCACGCATGATCTTGCCCACAATCTCATCCTGTTCGACATCATCCTGCAACGATTCCATAGGCCAAGTCACGGTTCCTAGGTTCATGTCCTTCCTGTGTTCGTTATAATCCACGACACCGAGTGTGAGTGGCTCCCTGAGCGAGTTAATCAGCAGGAATTTGATCTCGCCCCAGTATGGGTTATATGTAGCCGGTTGGTACTTGGTGCGTGCCAATTCCTCGCGCTCGTTGATGGACAGGGAAACGTAGGGATCTGGGGCGCCCCCAGTGACCTTGACACCCTTGATACCGCGCGCGGAGACGACGCGGACTTGTAGGACACCGATGGCGGTATCGAGAGGAGCGCCCGATAGTAGCTGGGCAAGATCCAGCACATAGGCGTTGGGAGCATACATCATGGGACCGAGGATGGAGTGAACCATATCGCGAATACCAGTGCGAAGACCGGGGATCTATGGAGGGAAGAGATCAGCAATTGCACAACCACATAGTGATTATACGCACGAAGCCGATGTCAAATCCAAACGTCTCCCCACCGATCGGTTTCAGCTCAAAGTCGAAGAAGGGCTTCTCGAGGAAGCTGATCTCCAGCCTTTTCGCATGAGGGGGCGTAGTCATGAGATCAAGCTTGATCTGCACATGTACGCGGAACTCGAAGTTCTCCAACAGGATGGGGAGCTTGACCTTCGCAACAGACTTGCCGACAGTGATCTCGAATACGATCTTTGGGTTGACGCGATCCGCCGCTTTTCTGAGTGATGTGTTTGAGGCGTCATTTGGTGTGAATGACAACTTCCACTCCATAAGCACAACGTCGTCCTCCGTCTTCGGGTAGGTCTTGACCATATCAATGCGCGGTGCCTTATTACCTAAGATGAACGTGGTCAAGTGCATTGATTCGACCATGGGCGGCGTGTTCACCGCGAGTTGCGCCTCCACTGACTGAACCACCGTGGTACTGAGCACGTTCTCGTAGATGAGCCAGAACCGCTCGAGGAACGAGTTGATCCATTCGGCACTCTCCGGCTCGACCGGGGCGCGGTTCTTGACCAACTCGCGACGAATATCATCTCGGGCACGCCCGCGCATGCGTTCGTTCGACACGGAGTAGTAGGTTCCACAGGTGGCCATGAGGAGGAAAATCCATCCCCATCCGAGGTGCAATATTGTCAACAGGTGGGTAAAAGCCACGGCCATAACGATGACGGATGCATCCCAGTACCATGCACCATAGAACTCCTCGGGGATGTACTGCGAGAGGAGGCTGGGGGGCTTCGGGGGGGCATTCAGGATATCCTGGGTTGTGAGTGCACCCGGCCTGTCGATACCGCCGCCCTGCCTCCACCCGACGCGATACCATTCCGGGATCTGGAAGACGTCGCCGACCCCACCGGGCATCTCCTTCGGTTCGGCGGCGACGACAGTCTTGTCTTGCTCATTGGTCTTGGCTACATCGTCTATCGTAATTGTCGGTCTCACAGCTGCGCTCTTTGCAGTAACAGCAGGGATCTCTGAGGTTCACATGAGTGATATATGCGGATACAGAAGAAAATACACGCACCCGCCGCCTTCCCGTTGGGGCTCTTGATCAATCCCTGCGCCTGTGCTTGTTTCTTGGGTGCTGCAGCCTTCTGCTCTGGTGTTGACTTTGGATCAAAGGTGTAGACGGCGGCACCCTTTTCGGCGTCCTTCACGATCCCGTTCACGACTGCAGCGGGATCCGCGACCTGTTCAGGTGGTGTGACGGTGACCACGGTCGGTGGGGTTGGGGTCACAGAGTCCTTGGCTGCGTGAGTCGCCATTGTCGGCGACAACTGCGAACGGGGACGATGTGGTAAGGAAGAGAAAGGAAGATAACAAGGAGGGATCAATTGACGCTGAGGGTGTTAATAATCTCGCCTCGATCCTGCCCTCTGCACGGTGGACGATGGCATATACCCTTAGTGGGCGCGTCGATCTCGGCGCAGTGACGCTGTTGACCTTCTTCTTTTAGCAATTCTATTCGCTTCCGCTAGCTCACGGCCACACATCGACGTCAACGCCGCGCCAACGTGCGATGCCGCCGATTCGGCTTAGGGCTTCCACAACAAGTAGCGCAATTTGCCTTAGACCATTCCGCAGACCACAAATCTTCCACACCTCCAAAAGGATAACACCGTACTCCATTCAGTAGCGGCGGCTGGCCACCTGCACTTTTGTTTTGTGTACCGCTAATTCGGAACTGGAAAAGCCATTTCCGAACTCAGGAACAGCCCTAATTTTAACCTCAAACACGTTCAGGAGGATCTATTTTGACTGCGGCTTCTGATTTTCTTAAGCTTCCTTCACCCCACCTACCATGGTTTTGTCTACCTCCAGGACATGGCTTCTTATTGGCTGCGTTTGCGGCGCGAATGTCCTTAATGTTGGCGTCTTGTTTAGATACTGTTGTTTGTTTTGTGCTCAGACGTGGTGACAGAACTTTCTCCAGGGGGCACTGACTGTCTCTTTGTCAACCATTCAGCAGAGTTTGAATATCTCGGAGCCGAATTTACAATGGTGCTTATCCGCATATGCTTTAACTTTTGCTTGTTTCCTGCTTCTCAGCGGTACTTATTCGGCTATCTACCCGACGCCGATCTTGTCTAAGACTACTACTTCTAGGAAAGGTAGCGGATGTTCTGGGACGTCGTCTCCTCTTCGTGCTTGGTACGGCGTGGATTGCAATTTTGTCAGTTTCGAAGGATGACCTCGATATTTGTCAACGCTGATATGTTGTAAAGGAGCATCGCCGCCTCCTTCTCTCGTAATCAAATCTCTTTCATCGTCCTTAATGGATTGATGGGTCTGGGCGCCGCTGCCAATACCCCAGCCGGTATAGGCATCTTAGGTTCGACATTGTCCGCTGACGTGAAGTCGATGGCTTTCGCTGCAGTGGGAGGTGCGGCCCCTATTGGCTACATCACTGGGCTTTGCCTCGGTCAGTTTATTCCTATGAGATCGAAATCTATATCTGATATATGCAGGGGGTATCCTTTGTGAGACATTTGCATCCTGGCCATCGGTCTTCTGGATCGAGAGCGCACTCGCTACAATCTTCAGCCTTATGTCATGGTTTTGTATCCCGTCGGATAGGGGCGAGCAGTATCATGAGACGATGATGAAGCTGTTGGGCCGTATCGATTGGGTCGGCGCTTCTTTAAGCACATTGGGTTTTGCTACCCTCATCTTCTCATTAACGTAAGCTTTAGATTGTCCCATTCCATTGAAATCTAATAACTGTCTCCAGCGATGCGCAATCCGCTCCCGGCGGCTGGTCGACACCGTACATTCCCGTCCTGCTAGTGCTCTCTGTCATTCTCCTGCTTTTGTTCTTCCGCTGGGAGGTATACCGCGAACGAACCGGTGCGGCGACCCTTATGCCTCCAAGTCTATTCAAGAGCCCAAACTTCGGAATGATCCTAAGCATGGTATTCTGTGCCTGGTGGGCTTTCAATGCAATGACGTACTTCGCAACAATCTAGTACGCCGTTCTCTTTCCACTCTAAAATATTCTCAACTGCTTGTTCAGCTATCAGCTTGTCCTCCAACTCTCACCCATTCAAACGGCTCTGCGTCTACTACCATTGGGCATAGCAGGCGTGGGAATCAACACCCTGGCGGGCTATCTTATCAGTCGCATGCGTCCAGTTTGGCTGATCGCGCTGGGCCTCATCGGAAGCCTCGCAGCGCCGCTCCTTTTTGCGTTCGTTCAGCCGTCGTTCAGCTATTGGTGGATAATGTTTTGGGTGATGCTGTTCATCGTTGGTGCGTAGTATGATGTCACCTCAGAGACATGACTAACCATTTTGTCAAGGTCCGGATGCCGCATATGCGGTATCGAATATTCACATCTCTGCCGCAGTCCCGGCACAGGATCAGGCACTAGCCGGAGGCATCTTCAACGTGACCACTCGTGTACGAAGCCTTCCCCGCATTCGCACCTGCATGCTCACCCTTTTTCCAGCTTGCCACAGCTCTTGGCATCGCCACATCTTCCGCAGTGGCTACCGCAGTGTCCAATGCGGCCCAACGCGCCGATGGAGACCTGACCCGTTCACCAAGTGCCCTTCTATCCGGCTATCATGCGGCCGCATGGGTGTGCTTTGGAATTGCGATGGTTGCGATGGTCATAGATCTCGTAGGCCTTAGAGGTCTCCCTATGATCCGGCCCAGCCAACCGGAACAGGCCATTGTAGTGAGCGTGGAGTTACAGCCTGTCGAAGCCCGACCATGAGACGTCGCCAATTCAAGAGCGAGCAAGTTGCAGTCAATTAAGGTTTCGGTACTTTCTCGTCATCGGTGATAGCATCGAACCATGCTGACTCACGACGACCGGCTCGTTCCATTGCCGGCATACGACTTCAACCGAAAGTTTGTTACGGGACCGTATGCAAGCGTATTCACAAGATATTATATTTAGTATATGTCCATGCGGTCTGCGTGCTTCAACCTGAAACACAGCTGACCTGAGCAAGGCGGCCGCCCGACTATGGGAAAGATGACCCAATCGGTTGACAGTCCGAAAACACAATTGGTTCTTATATCAAGGTCCGTTCGCTTTGGATCTGCCCGAGATTAGTCCACTAAACTCAACCAGGCTCAGGAGACCAATGACCCGGATCAACGGGCATCAATACCTGTGCCATTTGTGTGCGAAGATTTTCCTAAACACCCAGAGCACATTGATTATGTTTGCCGGAGTCAGCAGCCGATGGATCGGGGTACGGGAATAAACGGCGCAGTTCGCGTGGGGTCGAAAGAAGCCTCACCCCTTTGACGTCACGCGGTGGGGAGACTTCCCTGTCCTTATGTACCACGCTGCTCAGTCCGCCTGACCGGATGACACGTTGCGTTGTCGCCTTGAATTGGTGAGCGCACAGTTCACGACCTTTAGCAAACTAATGAATTACGAACAGAGAAGTTCGATCCGTTTTGCAATACATATCTACCCCACAACATGATTCATTCATTTCGGAAGTGCTCACTTTGGCGTGCGCCCGATCCTTATTCAAGAGATTGAGCATCCTCCAATGACTCGAAACTCCCCCTTGTACCTATAACAGGACAAGGGACCATCATTGTGCTGTTTTCCAGAATGTGTGCTTGGTCATGCGCACAAATCAACACCTGTCGGATTTTCGTTGCACGCCCCACCCGTCCGCCTCCGCTTTCCTCGGCAACAATGACGCCTCTTGTTTTGAGCAACGGTACCTTGGGGTCGAATCACGCCGCCGGCAGAGGCCTTCTTCTCAGCTGGAGCAGACATAAAGAGGTCGACAATGCCTGATTATCCCCGCTTTCCCCCGTTTGCCAACAATTCGTCTCACTCTCACTCTCTCCCGAGCCGAAAGCACTAACAGCCAACATGACGCAATCGGGTACACCCGATGAGGGCGATCTCATTGAAGGGCACGACCACACCGACCAGACACCTTACGAGAATGTCGATCTAAAGAACCACAAAACGCACCAGAACACTACGGTGTGGGAGGCCGATGAAAAGGGCCTCATGCACGGTGTAACCCGGCAAGTGACTATTGATGGCCGTGCTCATGAGGGTGAGCAAACTGTCACACGAGCATTACAATCACGCCACTTGCAAATGATTGCTATTGGGTGAGTCCACCGCTACTGTAGACAACGGATGACCGCTGACTGTAGTTAAAGTGGCACTATTGGCACTGGTCTCTTTGTTGGCTCCGGAGGCGCGCTTGCGACCGCCGGTCCTGTTGGCACTCTGCTTGGTTATGTCATTGTCGGCGCAATGGTGTACGCTGTCATGATTTCCCTCGGAGAGAGTACGTCAGGCCAACGTCCCTGATCCAGCAGTATCTGATTATGCATCAGTGACTACACTGTACCCCGTCTCTGGCTCTTTCACCCATTACGCAACCCGTTTCGTTGATCCCGCCCTCGGCTTCGCCCTTGGCTACAACTATTGGTATTCTTTTGCTGTCATACTTCCCAACGAGATCACTGCCGCGGCTATTGTCATTGGATACTGGAATCAAACCATCAATACTGCGTATGTCACAACCAATCGCATGCGTTGCTCTGCGAGCGTTCTGACATCGCTGTAGTGCATGGGTATCTATCTTCCTTGTGGCAATCATCGCCATCAATTTTGTCGGTGTTGCTGCCTATAGCGAGGCAGAGTTCTGGATGTCATTCATCAAAGTCATCACTATTGTTGGACTCATCATTATCGGCATTGTCTTGGATCTTGGCGGTGGTCCTAATCACGATCGTATTGGCTTCCGTTACTGGAAGAATCCTGGACCATTTAATCAGTTCAACGGTATTCCGGGTGCGACTCGCAGGTTCCTCGCCTTCTGGTCATCCTTCGTCCAGGCTGCATTCTCTTATCAAGGTACCGAAATCGTCGCCGTCACCGCTGGTGAAGCCCAGAACCCGACCAAGACTATTCCGAAAGCGATCCGCCGTGTGTTCTACCGGATCCTTTTGTTCTACGTGGGAGGCATCGCAGTCATCGGCCTTCTCGTCCCCTACACTAATGACCAGCTTCTCAATAACACAGGTACTGCCGCCGCCTCGCCTTTCGTCATCGCCATTGAGACAGCCGGCATCACAGCCCTGCCAAGTATCATCAACGCCGTCATCCTGTTCGCCGCCTTCTCAGCCGGTAACTCCGATCTCTACACCTCGAGTCGCACCCTCTACGCCCTCGCATTGGACGGCAAGACCCCGGCCTTCCTCCGCCGGTGTACGCGGCAAGGCCTGCCAATCTGGTGTGTAGCCATCACCTCGCTCTTTGGCTTCCTCGCCTACCTCAACGCGGGTGCCGCCAGCGCAGGGACCGTCTTTGAGTGGTTCGTCAACATCTCCACCGTCTCTGGTCTCTTCGCATGGGCCACAATCTGCTTCTCGTATACCTGTTTCTTCAACGCGGCCAGGATCCAAGGTTTGGATCGTAATACACTGCCCTATAAAACCCCTTTCCAGCCATACGCCGCCTGCTTCGGGTGCATACTCGCTCTCCTTATCATACTCTTCAATGGGTGGTCTGTCTTCCTAGCCGGAAACTGGAGCACGGCAACGTTCATAGCGGACTATATCGGTGTGCCGATCTTCGTTGGCTTTTACCTCTTCTGGAAAATATACCAACGGAGCAAGCTTGTTAGACTCGAGGAGATCGATTTGCTTCGGGGAGGAGAGGGGTGGACGAGAAGGAGGAAGAAGAATGGGTTCCGGTGAAGTGGTACGAGAAGGTCTGGGCTTGGTTAATGTGAGTGAGTCACATCCTGGCGGCTCGGTTAGGGCCGAAAGGAACGGAATTCTGTGTACTTGCTGGACTGTTTGCCTCTTTTTTGTTGGGAGGCACTATATCGAATGCCGGTTGATCCATATCCTTCCCCTACGCCCCTCCCCCCGGGCCGAATAGGCACATGAGTATTCAGGTGTTTGCATTGTGCCCACCGATGGGGCAAGTACGACGCGAAAGCGTCCGAGGAAGTAGATGGTCCGTGGCCAGTGCATGGTGCTCTGTGCCTGATGCCAGACTTTGAATACATTGACGTGCTTCGAACAATGTAGTAAGCTGTCCTCATTCCACTTCAACATTATTTCCTAACTGGTTGATCAGCCCTCAGCTTGTTTTCCAAGTCCCATTCAAATGGCTCTGCGGTCTACTTCCATTGGGCATAGACGGCGTGGGAGACATTACACTTGCAAACCATCTTATCAGCTGCATGTACCAAGTCCGTTGAGCGCCCTCGAGCTGATCTGAAGCCACGCAGCGCCCGTGGTATTTGATATCGGCCAACCTTCAGATAGCCATTTGTGGAAGCTGTTCTGGTTCATGCTGTTCACCACTGGTACGTGTTATCATAGCCCCTGAGAGCCGGAGACCTGAGAGTTTCAAAGGTCCAGATGCCGCACGTGCATTATCGAGCATGGCAAACCACCTCCACATCTCTGCTACGGTTCCAGTGTAGGAGAATGCGCTCGCTCTCAACACGATAGGAAGCCTTCTCCGCATTCATTCGTCTTGCTTCCTCCGCAGTGGCTATGGCGGTGTTGATGCGAACACCAATCAAGCCCTGAGCTGTCCACCGAGCGCCCTGGCAGGTTATCATGCGGTCGCATGGGCGCTACTTTGTCATTGTGATGGCCCCTTCATAGACATTGTTCACCTCAGGTGGAGTTGCAGCATATGGAAGCACAAGCTCAGCAGCAAGTTATCCGGGCTTGGGTACTTTTATGATTTCGGTGCTACCGTTAGAATCACGAGCCCAGGACGATCAATTGCTGGCATGTGATCTGGACCGAATATGTGTCTTGCGCCGTTCACGAACACCGCCGCAAGCGCATTTACAAGATATATTTAGTATGCGTACACGCATTCAAAACACAGCCAACTGAGGCTGCGAAACCGCGGAAAGATGCGCCCAATCGGCTATTGTATGTTGGGGGCGGTATTTCCGGAATGAACGATGTGTTATTGTCAAGGTCCGTCCGCTCTTGGATCTAGAGAGTGATGTTGAGCCACCAAAGCCACCAGAATTATGACAGCGGATCTGCGGGGATCTGGCGGAATAACTGGCCTGCAAAGTGCAGTGAAGATTTTCCAAAGCGCCGAAAGGAGATGATGGAGTTAGCCGGAGTACCCGATGATTCGGAGCACGGAAATAAACGGCATCATTCGCGTGGCGTGAAAGAAGCTCGACCCCTTTGACATCGCGTGGACGTTGCCCTTTACGTGGGTCGGAACCCTCTCAACCAGGTGGAACATAGATATCGTTCTCTCCTCTCGTTGGTTGAAGAAGTGATATCTCATTAAGTTTGAACGATAACGAGCATTGAACAGAGAAGTTCTCCTCCTCCTCAATGCCTCCCTTTGCCCCATGCTGGTGTGCTTCACCACACGGAGCAATTCATTCATTTTCGAAGGATTCTCTAACGTAAACATTTTTCATTTTTCAATGTGTCGAAACATCCAGTGCGTTCAAGACCGTTATCGTGCTTGGCGGAATGTATGTTTGGTCACAGCCATGTGCGCCAACACCTGTCGCACGCCCCACCCGTCTGCATCCGTTCTACTCGGCAACAATATTGGCGCCTCTTCTGTTCAACAAGTCTGCCCTGGGGTCGAATCAGATAGCCCATCTTCAGTAATCCCGCTCTGCTCAGGCATAAATATGTGGACGATGAGCACACGAACACCCCTTGCCCATCGTTCTCACGAAACCAGTCTCACTCTCCCTTCCCCCCCCCCCCAGCCAAAAGCGCCAGTGAATCAATATGGCGCAACCAACCGCACCCGATGTGGGTGATACCATGGACGGGCACGACCCCATTCACCAGACAACTCACGATAATGGCGATCTCAAGGACCAGAAACACCAGACTACCAAGGTATGGGAGGCCGACGAGAAGGGCCTTATGCACACTGTAACTCGACAAGTGACCATCGATGGTCGTGCGAATGAGGGCGAACAGACCGTCACCCGAGCCTTGAAGTCACGTCATCTTCAAATGATTGCTATTGGGTAAGTTGGGCGCTAATATGCAAGGGATGGTTACTGACTGTGATTAGTGGTACTATTGGCACTGGTCTCTTCGTTGGTTCCGGAGGTGCGCTCGCGACCGCCGGTCCTGTTGGTACTCTGCTCGGCTATATCATTGTCGGAGCAATGGTCTACGCTGTCATGATATCCCTTGGAGAAAGTGTGTTGTTATTCCACGTTCGAGTCAAGCTGCATCTGATTACCCTGTTCAGTGACTACACTATTCCCGGTGTCCGGCTCATTCACCCATTACGCAACTCGATTCGTCGATCCTGCACTTGGCTTCGCTCTTGGCTACAACTATTGGTATTCCTATGCTGTCACTCTTCCGAACGAGATCACCGCTGCTGCCATCGTTATTGGATACTGGAATCAGACGATCAATGTCGCGTATGTTGCACCCGATAGGTGATTCAATCCATTTCTGACAATTTGACAGTATTTGGGTGTCAATCTTCCTCGTGGCAGTCATCGGCATCAACTTTATTGGTGTCGCTGCTTACGGCGAAGCCGAATTCTGGATGTCATTTATCAAAGTCACGACCATTGTCGGGCTGATCATTCTCGGTATTGTCCTCGATCTCGGTGGTGGGCCGAACCACGACCGTATCGGATTCCGGTACTGGAAGCACCCCGGGCCTTTTAACCAATTCAACGGTATCCCGGGCGCTACAGGGCGCTTCCTCGCATTCTGGTCATCCTTCATCCAAGCCGCGTTCTCTTATCTCGGGACAGAGATCGTCGCTGTCACAGCTGGCGAAGCCCAAAACCCAACCAAGACGATCCCCAAGGCAATCCGCCGTGTGTTCTACCGGATCCTGTTATTCTACGTCGGAGGGATAGCCGTCATCGGCCTTCTCGTGCCTTACACAAGCGATCAGCTGCTGAACAACACAGGCACTGCCGCCGCTTCCCCTTTCGTCATCGCGATCGAGACAGCAGGGATCAGCGCCCTGCCGAGCATAATAAACGCAGTGATCCTCATCTCCGCTTTCTCAGCTGGCAACTCCGATCTCTACACTTCGAGTCGCACGCTGTACGCCCTCGCATTGGACGGGAAGACCCCATCCTTCCTCCGCCGTTGTACGCGGCGCGGGCTGCCAATCTGGTGCGTAGGGATCACAGCCCTCTTCGGCTTCCTCTCCTACCTCAACGTCGGCGCCGCGAGCGCAGGCACAGTCTTTGAGTGGTTCGTCAACATCAGTACCGTCTCTGGTCTGTTCGCATGGGCGACAATCTGTTTTTCGTACATAAGGTTCTACAACGCCGCCAAGCTTCAGGGGCTGGATAGGAATACCTTGCCATACAAAGGCCCCTTGCAGCCATACGCCGCCTACTTCGGGTGCATCCTCGCCCTGCTTATAATACTGTTTAATGGCTGGTCTGTCTTCCTAGCCGGGAACTGGAGCACATCGACCTTCGTAGCGGACTATATCGGAGTGCCGATCTTCGCTGGGTTTTACCTCTTCTGGAAAATATACAAGCGGAGTAAAGTTGTCAGGCTCGAGGATATAGATTTGCTTTCCGGGAGGAGAGGGATAGACGAGAAGGAGGAAGAGGACTGGGTGCCGGTGAAGTGGTACGAGAAGGTTTGGGCTTGGTTGATGTGAGTTGTTGTGGGTGGCTGACGGGATGGAATGGAATGGGAATGGGAATCAAGACAATGGATGTAATTGTAGAATAGCCTGCATGGGTAGTATAGATGCGCTCTATGTAATGACGATTGTTCAGATTTCTCACAACTAGTACTTCATGCTGAACACCCGAACGAACCATATAGAGAGCACGTGACATCCAATCTCGGGTGTGGCGTAATCGCCGGCAAAGACGATCACGTCACCCAAGCCCTGGCTTTCGACATCCTCCCCCCCACGCACGCAGAAACGCCCACAGCACAGCCCACAGGTGGGAGTGAGTAGCCAATGCCCAAAGCGGCATATCCTGTGGCAAGGTGGAGAGTAAGAGATGGAGAGTGAGAATGGAGAATGAGATGAGATGATTATTCCCGTTTCCCGTTCTCGTGTTCCCAGACGTTCGTGCTCTGCTTGGGTCGCCCGTGGGCCGTCTGCGTTCGAGCAGGGAAAAGTTGGCGTCATCCCCCGTTGAGAGCGCGCAATCCCCCCTTCCCCCCTCCCTCGTAGTGTGCTTCCCATCCCATCCTCCCAAAACTGCGTGCCCGTCGTCCTCCGTCCACCGTCCACTGTCCCAATCCTCGTCAACATCCCACGACACCCCAGCCTAAGCCTAAGCCATCGACGCTCGACAGTAACGCACGCCGTTCGACACTTGCCTGACGCAGCCCCTTCCCTTGAGGTAGAAGTGCACCACGTGATGCCCCTCGACCTACTTCTGGACGCGGCCAAGCTTCTGGACAGCACCGCCCACTCACACCCACAACCGCACGGCGAGATCGCAGGCGTCCACTCCGGAACGGCAGCGACAACAGTAGCAGGAGCAGGAGCAGCAGAGGCAGGAGCAAACGTAGGAGCAAACGCTACACAGCAGCAGCAGCAGCACGCCGAGCTCCCCTCCCTGCCCTCCCTGCCCTCATTTCCCGAACTGCAGCAACATCTCGCACACCTCTCCTCTCTCTCCTTCTTTTCCCAAACCGAGATGAGCAGCAACGCAGGTCGCAAGTCCCCCGCAAGAGGCAGTAAGCCCCTCTTCCCTCGTCCTTCACATCCTAGCTGGTGCTAACACACAGCAGGCCCCTTCCCCCAGCGCCCGACAAGACAGCCCTCACCCACGTCCTACCCAAGCAGCGGAACGAGCTACCCCCTCCCTTCCCCAGTCCAAGCATTCCCCTTCCCCTTCCCACCCCAACCGCAGCAAGCCCAGCCGCCCTTCGGAGGCCAATGGCCTCCTTTCCCCCCGGTCCCCCCACCTGCCTGGCCATCCCCAGCAGGTAACCCTGATTTCTGGAACGAGCTCTACCGAGGGCCTTCAGCCCTCCCTGGTCCAGCGGGACCTTCCCTCCCCCCTCCCCCGCAACCCCACCCACCACTCAGTCCCATCCTCACCACCGGACTCCACCCAGCCCCTCCCGGCTCCCCAGACACTCCCGGGTCAGACGACAAACGGCGGCGCAACACCGCCGCGAGCGCCCGGTTCCGGATTAAGAAGAAGCAGCGGATGCTAAACCTTGAGCGGAGTGTGCAGGATTTGCAGGGTCGAGCGGAGGAGTTGGAGAAGGAGACGGGGGAGTTGAGGAGGGAGAATGGGTGGTTGAGGGAGATGGTACTGCTTAAGGGGGGGATTGCGAGGGGTGGAAGTAGGGAGGGGTTGTTGGCGCTTGTGGGGCTTGGGAGGGAGGAGGGGAGAGGGAGGGAGAGGGAAAGGGAGAAGGAGAAGAGGAAGAAGAGGGAGGAGAGTGAGGAGGAAGTTGAGGAAGGACTTGATGATAGTGAGAGTAGTAGTGAAGAGTCGTCAAAGGGAAAAGGGAAAGGAAAAGGGAAAGGGAAGAGTAAGTCTCAAGGGAAAGGAAAGGGAACGTCGTCGTCCAAGAGCAAGGAGCAGTGAAGTGAAGGAATGGGCGCAGAGGGGGTAGACTGGGCAACAAACATTGTCGGTCAACAATTGTCGGCATTCGCAATCCTATCACTGAGGGGTTAGATCATTACATTCCACGTCTTGCTACTTGATTCAGATACGCTCTTATTTATCTTTTGGGGGTTTGGAATAGGAATTCACTGGGTTGACTCCCTCTGGTTGGGGTGGGCACGGACCATGAGAGCACGTCGACCTAATCGGGTAACCCTGACTCACGCATCCAGCACACACACACGTCCTGGGTGCACTTCAAATGCACGCATCATACAACAACAAGTAAACAATAAACAATAAACAATAAACACTCAAATCCAAACAGTACATTTTCCCAATTGTTTGCTAAATAAGTACATTGCTCTCCCCCTCTCCTACCCCCTGCTCCTCACTTAGGCTTCTCGTTCACCGGTCCTGACAACAACCCCCTGCTCCATGAGCACCAAGAGCACCGACGAGCAGCTCGCTATTAAGGTATACCTCACACCCTCCAACTGCTCCCATCTCTCCAACCGCTCCCAGCGCATCCCGCACCTCCTCCCAGTCCTTGTGCTCCCCCTCCCGCTCATTATCCACATCCGCTCCCTCACCCTGCCGATCCATAAAAACCCGGATCACGCTGAGTGAACTTGCCCATTCCCGCAAGCCTTTCAGGTCTCCCTTTCCCCCTAGACTGCCCTCTCCTTCCTGTCCTTCCTCGTCTTCCTCTCCTCCCTCAGGGAGCACACGCAGGTTCAGCTCCTTCAACGACCGCGGCGCCCCGCCCTCCAACGCCCGCCCTAACTCCCGTATCCTGCCCGTCAACCCCAACACTCTCAGCCTCTCCACTCTCTCCAAGTTCACCTCTCCCCGTAGAACAGAACAAGGGATCTCGAGTTTCTCGACCAGAGGAGCAAGGGTAATGAACCGGGCTAACAGCTCGCCTAGTGCTTGTTTCCCTTCTTCCCTTTCCTCTCTCCCCGCTGGTCTGCCGGTAGACTCCCCCCCGTCCGTGTCCGCGTCTACCGCCAGCTGGCAGAGGCTAGGCGTCCGAACCAGGCCTAGCAGGCCAGTAGAGTGTCCTCTCAGGCTGAGAGTGTGTAGCCTTGGGAGGAGGAGCCGGGGTGGCCGGGTCGAGGGTGGGAAAGTGGGGCGGAGGAGTGCGTGGACGGGTCCTGTTGCTGGAGGGAAGATGGGTTGGGGCAGGGGAAGGGGTTGATGTGGATGTGCGTGCAATCCCGGCTCCCCCTCTCCCTCTCCCTTCCTCCCCATGCCCGTCCCTACTCTGAGCTCCTCTAACGCTCCACACCCGCTCAACACCTGCAGTAGCAGGCCCAGCCCTACCCTCGCCTGGCTGAACAACAAGCTCAGCCTTGTGCACCTACCCAGGGCCTGACTCGGCCGTGGAACGATATCCCTCAGTTCGAGGGAGCGGAGTGCCTGCCAGTCCAAACCAAGCACTTGGTCGACATCCCCCGGTCTGAGCGGGCCCTGCAGCGAAAGGTGGGACAGGGACTTCGTACACGCCGGAGCAAGGGCGAGCAGGAGGTGGGAGGGGAGTGCCCAGCCGAGGGAACGGACTGTCGTCGGGCCTTCCTCCAGTGCGTCCAGGAGGAAAAGTACGATTTCCTGAGCTTCTACTCGCGCGTGCGGCCCGAGGTCGAATGACAGAGGAACGGCTTTCGCTAAAGAGATCCAGGACTTGCCCCTTCCTGCTCTACGCTCGCCAACTCGCCGCCGAGGCTGGCAGTCACACCTCGACAACGCCTGGCATGCGAGTCGGGTGCGTAACGGCGTATGCCCGACTAGGATCGTGCTCCACGCATTAGGAGTGCGGAGAGCAACTGCGCGCCAGCGGTGGGAGACGTGTGATACTTGGTCGGCGAAGTGGACTGATTCCCCTGCTGACCAGAGAGTGGAGGGGAGGGAGAAGATGTATGATAGGAGGTCGTCTGGGAGGCGCGAGGTCGGTGGGAGGAGCTGGTTTCGCAGGCGTCTGGTGCGTAGGAGATGAGGTTGCAGAGGGTGGGAAAGGGAGACGACTCCCTTGACTCCCTCTGAATCGGAGTCTGCGTCTGGGGGAGGAGAGGGGGAAGGAGTGAGAGGCGGTGTAGGGAGGAGAAGGAGGTGAGGTGCGAGTGCGTCACACAGCGCTATAGCGTTTGCGTATAACATTCCCGGGCATCTGCGCATGCGACCTATCAGCACAGGCTGCCTCAATCGCAATCGCAAGTCAAGCCTACCGTTCGCTCGCCCCTTCACACTCACACGGCTGCCTCCCTTCCTCGCACTCGATACACACGCCGTTCAGGCAGGCATCGAGTGCTCTTGACAGAGCGTGTTTTCTGAGTTTCTCACTAGTGGGGGAGGGAGGCGGAGGTTGGTTGACAAGCTGTACAAGGACATCGTTGAGTGCGTTGAGGAGTGATGTGCAGGTGTTGATGACCATCCCGGGGTGTCTGGGTGTGGTGGGGTGGGAAGGTGGTGGTGGGGAGGGGATGATGGTAGCGAGGGCGGGGGAGGGAGGGGAATGAGGGAGTAATATGGGATGTGTGGAATGGAGCGGAACGGCAGTGATGACTTTGTGTGCGTGTGATGATGCGCCCCCATGTCCCTGCAACCCTAACTCCCTCTCACCAGCGGAATATCCATTTCACTCCTTCCCTCATCTCCATCTCCTCCCTTTGTCCTCACAACACAGAGCGGAACACTCCTTTCCCCCCTCCCCAATTTCTCCCTCCCCGCTGCTCAGCTCATCCCGCCCCATACGCATCCCTAGCAGGCTCCGGGGCCCTCCCTCCTACCCCTCCCTTACAAAACCTAAGTCAAAAGACCCCTGAATAACACCTCCCGAAATCGGGCGCGGGAGGAATACCATTTTTGGAACAGGCGCAAGGGCTCGGCAATGCTCGGCCTGCAGGTCTGGCCATCCCTGAATATTCAGGGACTGTTACGGCTAACGGCTGTAATAGTGTTCAATTCAGTACTGCTTATTGCGGGGTGACACCGCATATGCATACTCCAAGACGCCAGCTCAACATACGGCTGTACGGTCAAATAAAGACACGACACACCACTCTTGACCCGCCCGGTCCGTTCGGTCTGCGCTCGGTCGCCCTTACAAGACTCTTCTGCACACTTCGCCGCTAGTGTTGATCTTCCCCATCGCCCATCATCCATGTTCCATCATCCATCATCCATCTGCCGTCTCCAATCTTGCCCTGCTCAGCTGACAGGTTTGCCAGCTCGCCAACAAACTAGGACTGCGGATTACAGACTCCAGCCACAGTCAGCAGTCAGCAGTCAGCAGCCGTCCGTGCGCCCCACACGCTCGCGTATCACAACCCTCATCAAAAGATAGAGGCTGAACTCCTCAGCTTCGAGGTTCGAGCTTCCGGAATCCTCATTCCATGCTAGAGGGGGAACCTACCCGCTTGCTTACATGGGTCCTCGGACTAGTCCTGATGTCCCCCCGCCCTCGCCCTCGGGGTATGCTACTGTTTTGATACTGGGGTGATGATTGTACTGTGTACTAGGCACTACGTATCGTACATCGAACACCGCACATCGGATACTCGGTCATTGGTTCATTCGTTCTTAGAGTAGTATGTACGTGACATCAACCAGCCTCAAGCAGAGGTCCAACACCTCTCACAAAACAGTACACTCCCCCACCCCACCTCACTTCACCTTCCAGCACAAGCTATGTAGAGCATCCTACAACTAGGACCACGTCCCCGGCTGATAACCAAACACTTCCCCAGGGTTAAGCGTCAAATAAGTGGCGCCCATCCCATCGAGCGTATTCGCATACACGCTATTCCCCCACCAATCAAGTGACACCCCTCCATTCGGGAAATACAGGCAGAAGAAGATGACAATCGTCGTTATCGCCACTCCCGAGTCCATCGCCGCGGAGAGCACGTAGTTGTAGCGCGACCACCAGCCGAAGTGGTACCGCCGGACGAAGTACATGAAGGTGATGCCGACCATGAACCAGGAGGAGAAGTTGATCCCTGTTGCGGGGGGCATGAGGCCTGTGCCGGTGAAGAATACGGGGATGTTGACGTACTGCCCCAGTGTTAGCTGTCAGTGCGTGCTAGGCAAGAAAGGGAAGGGAGAGGGGACACACCTTCCACCCGGACATAGGATACTTCTTTGCCAAGTAGTAGAATGGGATGGGGAGGAGAGCCCCGATGAGGAAGAACCACAACAGCGGCTGATACAGCCCATGACTGAATATCCTCGTCGGGCCTATCCCGCCCCAGATGAGGGAAGCCGTGCCGAAAACATCGATCCCCGGGCAAGTGAAGTTGTCTGCCTGCTCGGGGGTACACATGCCCACTATGTTCCCGAACATCCAGTTCTGCACACCGACGACGACGAAGCACGCTATAAGTGCGGCGATGACCTGCGAAAGCCACATCATCCGAGGCGGGACTTTCATGTAGTGCCCGAGCTTGAGGTCGCCGACGAAGGACAGCGCTTGGGCCATGGTGATGTACCCGAAGGTCTTGAAGATCATCATTGCTACTGGTTTTCCTGGGAGTGCGTAGCCGACGATAAGCTCGGTGATGACGTTGAGCCCTACTTGCTGGTTCGTCACTGCCTGGATCATGCCGATCGGGATGAGGTAGAAGAGTGAGATGAGGAGGGCGAGGATGAGTGCCCAGACCGGCAACTGCGTGTGCCACACCTCGATTGTCACTATTGCCAGGGCGAAGCTGACTAGCCCGAGGCCGAGGTACCACGAGTTGGGCACTTCGGGGTAGGCAAGCATCAGCCTTGCATGGATATCGGGTTCATCTTTGAGCGAAGCACGGAACTGGCGGACGATGTCGTGCCTGTACCAGAGGAAGACATGGACGATGGTTGATGTGAGCGCGCCGAATGAGAGGCCGTACGCCAGTGCGAACGTCATCGATAGGTATAGAGGGGAATAGTTCGCGTACTGCTCAGGATTGAAGATCCCGTCGACGATGATCGCTGTCGCGTTGTATGGTGCGCCGGTGTTGTCGTATGATCCGGAGGAGGACATGGGTAGGTACTGGGCAACTGCAAACGTTGAGTCATTATCTGGTCAGCAGAGGGTGGGGCTCACAGAAGACATTCTTGTAGTACATGATTGGGGCGATGATCCAGTAGATGATGGCCAGGCACGCGAATACGTTCGCCTGCGCCCACCAGGGAGTGACAAGGGGCGAACCGGTGTAGGCGATCTGCGCCCAGTCAAACGTGACAAAGCCCATGCCGAGGCCAGTCTGGTACCCAAACAGCGAGTTGACGACAAAGTTGTTCGGCGCGATCCAGCAAACCCAGTTGAATACGGACAAGGCGGTGAAGATGTACCCGGGGAAGAAGTACCAGAGGGCGGAACATGTGAACGCGATGACGAAAAACTTGTTTCGGCTCATCCATCCATCGTCTGACTTGCCATAAGAAGTGTGCAAGGCGTTGAAGAGCGCACTGTACACGAGCGTATACGGCCAGATCATCGCTGCTGGCCAGACGAGGAATCGGCGGCACAGACCAGCAATAGAGAAACCGATAAGCTGGGTCGAGATAACGAGCAGCAGCTCGTAACCCGGATCCAGTTGCTGGTTATAGAAGGACTTCTGCACAGCAAGAATATCCGTGGCATATGCACCTCCAGAGCACACGTTCGCCATGACTGTGATGAGCGTGTGCTCCTTGATGTTGAACGGACCAGGGTTGAAGGACCAACGATATCCAAACGTATTGAACTGGCGAGTGGGAAGGATCTTCTCCAACAGCTTTCCCAGTGGGAGAGCAACGAGCTGAGCCACCAAAGACGTAATCGTGACGGAGGGATCTGTAGCAAGTGAGTCACTAATGATGAAGAGAATGCTAAGCACCTACAGCGAAAGCCGAAGAACTGGTTCAGACCAGAGATGACAATAGTGAACAGGACGCCCAGAAACCACATCCGGAAGGTGTTAACAGGCATAGAGGGATCGTCCGTGTTGGATACTGCCGCACGCACTTCTGGGTACGGCGAGTCTTCCTCCTGATCGCTTGAACAGACATCAGTTAGAGCGAGGTCAACGTAGAATATTTCTTACTTATCAACCTCCACAACGACCCTCTCAACTGAGGAGCTCCCGTCCTCCAGCTTGTCATGGCTCCTCTCCTTCGTCATATGGACGTGCTCAGAGATCACATAGTTCGGGTCAGCGAGGTGGTGTTGTGCGACCTCCTCTTCGATTCTGTGGGCTTGCTGTGCGTTCGTCACCTCCTGGGAATGCGGCTCATGCCAAGAGCTAGGTGCAATGCCCATCGTCACGTCCCTGCTTGCCGACATAGACGTGAGGCGAGGGAGTTCGGGGACATACAGCTCGTCTGCGCTCTTCTCCATGGCGAATTCCGATACGAGGAGGGCAGCCTGCTATACGAAGGGGACTGTCAGGGGGGAAGGCTAGCATGGGAGCTCTTCTTTATACAAAATTGGGGTATCGCCGCCACAAGTAGCAGATAGCAAGCTAATGCACACTGTTGGAATCTTCGTCAGCCATGCGGTATCTCAGTTGGTCATACGGAATATACGATGCGCGATAAGAACGCAAGCGCACGACATCATGATCTCCATTCGCTAGCGTGGCAGAACTGTAGACGCGGCTTCCAAACATGGGGAAATTCAAAATACCCATTGTAGTTCAGCTACCAGTCCCGGAGATTCGGTGAAATGGCGGGGTTTTTGAATCACCATGCGCCCGATCCCAGTCCTGCAGCATATGGCTATTTGTATGCCGGGGTAGCTATCGAGCGACGGAACAGCCTTGTCAATGCGAATACCAGTTCGAGGATTTGGAAGATTGTGGAACCGAAATCTGCCCAGCGTTTCCAAAGATTACACACAGCTCCACTTGCATTGAGACAGTATTGAGTAGATGTGGCCGCCATTGGAAAATCTGTGTTACCAAGTTCCAGCAATAGACGGAAAATACATAGCCAGCAAGGAACGCAGCTGCCTGATCAATAGCGCATACGCTTCTCGTTGCGTGTCGCGTGGCTCTCGGCGTGATAAGCCGTGACGGGGCGTGATCGGCATTTCACCCGCGGACACAAACCCTTTCACTATGGAATGATATTCGATTACGCTCAGATTTTGTACGGCGCTCATCGAGGACCCCTGAGCATGCTGCCCAGTTGCCCAGAGGGAATTCCTCCGGTGCCCCCTCCTCGGAGATATTGCTCCCACATTGCCCCTTCGGAGGCAAATGCTCACAATGCCCTCTCCTTCACGTGCTCCCATAGCGCGCAGCATTTTCACCCGTCCAACACAAGCTGGACCGGAACAAATCATTTTGCTGCTCTGAGATATGTTTGGCCACTCCATGGTGACAGGACCCCGAGCTTACCCTTCTTGCCGTCTTGACACGTGATGGAAGCTGCAAGTTCTGTGAGCACGTGAAGGAGAGGGCATTCTGAGCATTTGCCTCCGGAGGGGCATTGTGGGAGCAATATCTCCGAGGAGGGGGCACCGGAGGAATTCCCTCCAGTTGCCCATGAAAATCTCCATATTACATATAATTGGCGAAGGTCCGGAATCAAATAGGTGCGGCAGTGCAAAAGTCTGAACATATATCTGTTTCAGCATTTGTGACCTTTTTTATGCTTCAAAGCATCACCAAAGCACAATGTAACATGTTTACATAGCTGTTGCTAGAGGTGTATAAGTAACCATTAATATTATCGAAGGTACTTAGCAGTCGCCGGAATTGCTTCCTTTTGTGGCTGTGCGAGCATACCCCTGTGATCAGTACTTAATATATTTTTTGTATTTATTGTGCCCAGAACGCACAATCATATACTTACTGCCGCATACATTATTTTCCTCCGAGTCCCTCGGCTCCGTGTCTCCGAGTACCACGGAGACAAATCAGCTTCCGCTCAGAGGCTTTTTGTGGGACGCAAGAGGGGTCTATACGGGGTCTCTGTGCTTAGCCACCGCTAACTTGATGGGCCAGGGTCCAAATTAGGGCGTAATCGAATATCATTCCATATTTCACCGGCCTTCTTCTTCTCTCACCTTGATGTGGCGGCGTGCGTGCCGGGCCAGCCGTATGAATAAGATCTCTAATTCAATTTGCAGATTGTATCTCGAGGATCCAAGAATTGATGTTGCGACCCCAGGAGTTCAAGTCGTTCGACCCAATTACCAGAATGTATCATTGCCAGCGACAACTGAGAGTGTAATGGTACGCAGCGACAGCGTGTGGAGATAGGAGCATGCATCCGATCCCATAGCATTCTTCGCCCATAAGGTAATGCTGGGGGCAACAAAAGATATCATCCAGCATTGATAGCCGGGATCCGCAGCTGCTGGCAGCTGGAGGTTGATAAGAATGTCGAATATTGGGGGCACGTTCGGGTACCTCATTCTTCCCAGCTCCAGAAGCTTCAACGAGGCACCGAATTGTCGGAAGAGTAGCACATTCGCTGTCAGACAACTTCGAAATATCCGGTCAACACACAGCTAGAGATTCTGCATTCAACTTCTGCAGGATACGGGCTGTGTCGGGATTGATATTGAGCTTGAATATATTCAGATAAGGCCCGTGGGCTAGCGGTCCCATGCCTTCTATCAAGTTGACTGGATCGGCTGGTGACGCTTGGCTTATTTGAGAAGTGTGACACCTCGTCCGCAATGAATGCTGAGGGCGCTGAGACGCAAGCTGCACCCACGAGCTGTTATCGGAACAAGCTGCAGCACATGAGCACCTCCGATTGTCTGGTCGTATTATCGGGCTCGAAGTTCCGACGTCTCACCGAACCGACTATGTAACTGGACGGGATCTAGTTACTCTATCTTGATGCTTTCATATCGACCACGAGGACTTTACCGAGGGAAAATAGATGACATTCGATGGATCGTACAAGTTCTTCAGGAACCGATTGAGCTCGAGATATTCCGAAGCAAGACTGGATACTATGACAACATCATGTACCTAAACCAATTGAACGAAAGTAGCAAAAGATTTCCTCGATCCCCGATCGAGCTTACGCTCCATAGGGCGAAGCTGGCCGCTTTCGACCAGAAACATATACACCTTCAAATAGACCAGGAGGCGGAGAGGGACCGGACGGACGCCGCGGAGGACCATTTGATCTGTCACGCGTAGTTGAAGACGACCGACGACGGGGTTGATGGGGCGGAGGCGGATACGGTTCATAACATGGAGGCGGGCGGTGCATAGGTGGGAAGCCAGGTTGATAAGGACCATGCGACGGCGGCGGACCAAAGAAAGCGGGATGCATATCGGGTGGTGGCATGCCCGGAGTCGGCATAGGTCCCATACCAGGCATCGGGCGATGCATGCCGTGCATCATCATATCAGGTGGCATCATAGGAGGATAAGCCCTATCCATTCCATGTGGACCGTGTCCATTTGTGCTGGTATTGGCTGGTTCAGGAGGTATAGTCGAAGGGTCATTCGGATCTGGCATCTTCCACATGTCTTTCTTAGAGCAGCGCTGCTTCGTATCGCATCCGTGGCACATCTCCAATCGGTAGCGCCGGAATAACTTCCTACAGGTACCAGGCACCAATTGACCATTTCCTTTTAACGTGAGAGGTGGCAGTTTTGCGTTGTTGATATACGGGACAAAGTGAACATTTGACATGATAGGCGGCCCCATGGGCCCCGATCTCATGGGGAACCTCATGCCAGGAGGCGGGCGATGATCGAAGTCCAACGGTGGTGTCAAAGGGTCGTGTTCATCATGTATTCGGTACGGTCCACGAGATGGTCGATCTCGGCGATCATTCTCCTGCAGAATGAGCCTTCCACGGGGCTTAATTCCTTTCGCTTGCTGTTCAAGTTGCTGCTGGTGGCGACTATATGCTCCTTTGTACCACTCCGTCACATCTTTTTCATCGGCTGATACAATCATGAGTGCTGCTCGCGGTTGCACATAACGAACCTACTCTTTGTCCAGACCTCCGGCTGCCTTTTGAGCGTCTCACGCGAGTTTGAATAATGTGACTCGCCTAAGGAATATAAATCCCTGATTACGGAAGGAAAGAGTCATGACTCACCAACCATGAACACGTCAACCGCTTTCTGCAATGACTTTGGAGGCGGACTCCTGTATTCCCCAGAGATATCATCCGAACGAGGAGAAGAAGCAAAATCCGTATCGACCGCATGTCCATTGCGAGTTGCAGGGGACGATTCCTTTGAGGTTATGTTGCTCCTGGGTGCAAAACGAGGATCGAGCAATTCTGGGGGGCCAGAGATATCGTTCATATCTTCATCCTCTTGATCCGACAGATTCGAAAGATCAATAACGTCCCTAGGATCGGGTGGTAGATTTGGTGCGCGGCGTAGCGGAGCGACGGGCGTCATCCGCTGAATGGGAGGATCAGGGTGCAAGTTGGGACCGTGCCGTAGCGGAGCTGGCCCTGTAGATGGTTGGCCTGGAGACGTTGCGCGAAGTTGTGGGAATGGTTTTAGTGTCCAGACCTCCGACAGTGCGGTATCCGACGAAGGTCTCGGTTCATGCGACGCGCCACCATGGAAGACTTCGCGATGCTGGTTATGAGCCGCCGAAAGAAGTCCGGGCAGAGTTGGGCGCATAGACATCATTGTGGGCGGGGGTATTTGTCTCGGAACCGGTACTGTCGGCGGAGTCGGTTCCTTGCTCCCTGCATGACTGAGAACCGGACTAGACGTCAGATCGATTATCTCTGGCGTCGGCCGCCGAGCTGGCGGGGCAAGCCTTTCTGCATCAATTGCAGCCTGAGAGCGGTAAAGTGCTCCGATAAATTGATCAAGAGTTGGCGTGTTCTTGTCACCGTTAGTTTGAAGGACAGGCAAAGTTGGCTCAATGCGAGAAGACACAGCAGGAGATCTTGACGGGTCATGCATCGACAGTACGGGTGAGTGGACCGTCGAAGAAAGGGAAGATCGAATCACGTCAGGCGCAGGCGGATCTACTACCCGCTTCCATATTCTGCTACTAGCCGGTTGCGTCGGTTTCCAGTACTCTATCTCACTGGAGGACGGAACTTCGCGCACGGCGGACTTCTCAAAAGCACGAGAAGACATTGGAGCTCGCTGTGCCAAGTCGCGGTGGGGTTCCGGGGCACGTGTGATGCCAATCTCCGGGCTCGGATATATGTTGCTAGGAGGGCTCCTATTTGGACCTTGGGCGCCGGATGGGCGCATATCCGAGTCATTTGTCAATAATCGGCGACTGAAGGGCTGATGAGTTAAAAACAACCGCAAAAGGAGATTGTCTTGCATTGATATCTCCTCGCGCGATCCCGAGGCAGTCGGCGATCTTGTCGGAGGCTGGGTTGAGATCTAGTCAGCGAAGATATGTGGTATTGAAGAAGCTGGCATATACCTCCTGCCTCGCGTTGATATCCATGCGGTCAATCAGCGTCATCGGCACAGCTCTTCATACAATGATTTAGATGAGTGGGTGATACTTTGCCCTAATGATGGCCAGCGATAGGTCAGGATAATCGGTAACTATCTTGTGTGGATCGGATGGAGCTGGGGGAAGCGAAAGAGGGGGGAAAGAGAAAAGGGGCGACGTGAATGATCGTGAACGGGCGAACAGACTCAAAGACGGGTGCCGGTGCGAAAGATGCAGCATGGACGCGGACTTTCAAACACCTCCGGTACTTTTGCTCCCGCGGAGAGCGGAAGCTGCAAGAACTCCACGTGTGGACCGAAGGATCGGGGGGACGCGGAATCAAAGATCATCAACGTTCTTTCCCGATGTCCATGTCGCCCTCCGTTTACAATGATTATCACCCTGAGCGCTAGACAATATCTAATCATCGCTGGGACTAATCGCGACCGATCCGTTTATTGATAGGCCCGTACCGTCCCTTCTGGTTACGCAGGCACCGGTGGTGGTATAGCTGGACAAAGCCGCCGTAACAGTGTGCTTCCGCTGAATTCTCGCAACGCCCGCGGGTGCAACGAGGCGCGCGAGGTTTTACGATCCTTCGCAACCCGTATCGGTCTGCCTCCGTGCAAGTTTGCGCCTCAATTATCCGACGAAGCAAGGCCAATTCAAAGCGCCAGCAAAATTTAAATATGCCGTGAGCCGGCGGTACCGAACAACAGCGAAAAACTACGGATATTCAATCTGAGTCATGTCATGGCCAACGGGGCAACGGGGATCAGCCATCGAGGTATACCGTTCCGGTGGGATGATTAAAACGGGCTCCGTTGCGAGCCAAGTGCGGTCTCTCCGAGATCCGCAAGGCGTGAAGAGGACAAAACGGCGGTGCCGGTCGTATCGGGCATCAGAAGCCGGGGGTTGAAGGAGCATCGCCACTATCTTCTTTTCCTTCTTTGTCAGTGCACATCTTTGATGCGGCATGGGATGAGGCAGGAAGATTCGGAAATGTTCGGAATTCGACACATATCCGGAGTACGGGAATCTCGCGCGGGGGGATATTCCCTTCCTGTTAACTGCCAGCCTGCCGTAAAGGACAATACTGGTTGTTCTACTTTTGATATACTCCTTCTTTCATATACAACAACTTCTAAATAAGGCTGTTGTCACTCAACTCCAGTCCGTCCCATGCAGGCGCGGGCCTCTCTGCCTGGGGCGTGATCCTGCACCCGTGCCTCCTTTGTCCGCTAGGACCAAAGTCAACAACTGGGGTGTGCACGCAGATACGGTTGTCCCAGAGGACAACTGTGTTGCGGGCCCATTTCGCACGCGCTTGGAAGTCGCCGCCTTTGGATACGTGGTCGAAAAGGAAGTTGAGAAGGTTATCTGCACGGGAAGATGAGGCATTTTCATCGCAGAAGGAAGACCACGGACGTACCAGACTCTTCCTTCTTGAGCCCTACAATACGTGTTGTAAACTGGCTGTTGACATAAAGTGCCTCCTCGCCTGTCACGGGGTGTCTGCGCACAACAGGATGAACGTGCTCCACAGGCTCGCGACGGACAACACCACCACGCTTCCCGCTGCGGGAGAAGTTGGCCTGCTCAACCCCGGAGTGGACTGCCTTCAACGTGCGGAGGAAGGAGACGAACGGTGGGGAGAGATGGCGGAGAGCAGCGACTTGAGAGCCGTACAGAGTGTCTCCACCAGTGTCGGGCGAGGAGAGAAGGAAGAGCGTAGTAAGACCAGGTGGTTGGAGCTCATACGAGACCTGAACGCAGTATCAGACTAGAATCGAAAGGAAGAGCGCGGAGACGCACATCAGAATGCCACACCAAGCTCGAGATCCTGTCGCTCCTCTCATAGTTGAACGTCGCCTGCCCATCCCTGTACACCAGATGGATCTGCGGGATACCATCCGGATGTCCGCTTGTCGGATGTATATGCAGCCGGCCGAAATGCTTGCCCCACTCCAGCCAAGCGTCCCCTCCAGCATTGATGAAGTTGCCCTGGTCGCGGAAGACGAGAACTCCCCTGCGCGCAGCAAGGAGAGCGAGCTGATCCCGCCCATCGCTAGTCAGCTTGCTCAGGTCGACTCCGCGCACTTCCGTCCCCAGCTCAGGCGTGAGCTCGGTGACGCTCTCCGCAGACTGGAGGAAAGGCAACGGATCCTCTGGATTGGGACTAACGGCAAGTGCACGCAGCCCAGGGTCGGAATGGGTGAACGGCTCGAGCGGTGGATAGTGCTCGTTCGCGTTGAACGCAGGGAGGTAGCGGGCATACGTATACTCCGCCAGCTCTGGCTGGCTCGACTTTGGCTTGGCTGCCGGCACGGGTTCGGGGGCGACTTTGGCAGCAAGCACGGCTGCTGGCACCTCGGATGGCGTACCGCGCAGCTTCAGTGTCGTGTACTGTGTCGGGGCGGTGTACGTCTCTGTCGCAACAGGAGGAGCCATGTTATCCGAATTCGGGTCTGAGGGCGGGCTGGGAGTTGGTATGCAAACAAGCAATACAGCATCCCGCCGTCATCCCGATGTTATTATATCTGTCTCTAGCCCTGGCCATAATCCAGAAAAGTCTTCTCATCCGCCGATGGCGAAATAGGCTGGCATTATGGAGTATTTCATTATTGAAGGCCAAGCACTAAGTAGTTATTGAGTGAGCCAATGGAGAAAGCACGCAATCATCGAGCGGGATGGTAGTCACAGGGACGAGGAAGCCGACGCGCGGGCCGAGTCTTCGGCAGGGGCGGAGCCGGAGATAATCCGAGGAGCGCCTCTGACTGCCCTCATGTAGAGCTCCACTTTTGCGGAAAACCAGTTCATACACTTTTCTCGCTTGCTTAGCGGTCTAGCACAACCTGAACGCAATCCCGCAAGTTCAAAACGTCATCGATTAATTGGCCCGGATCCTAATCCCCAACCGGACGTCCATTAGCCTGGCTCCGCATGAATCTGATTGCGAGTGCAGAACCTCCGTGTAAGTTGACCAAAAAATGGGCATGCACCTCCCAGAGCTGTTATCCGATCATTCATAGGCTTATGCCACTGGCGCCGTCTCTGGCTAGTTTTTAGTCAACCTCTCGTCGAAGGTTCGTCTTTGATGCCTTCCTTCCTCGGGGCATATCAGTTCCATGCACAAACCCCTCAAGCTCGCAAGCCCATTGGGCTCGGGCTTAGGATGATCTAGCCCTTTCCCGAACTCACTACTGCCTTCTGATCCGTCATTCCGCTCTGTACGACCAATCTTCTAGAAAACTGCGCGCAAAGCTCTGACTCGCACCGCCTACTGCCGTCACCAACCCCATCGATTTGCCTTTCTCCGTTCCTACTGTACCCACGGGGATCTCCGCCGATCAGTAATCACCAGGCTCCGATGTATGCGCGCTACTCTGCTCTTTCAAAACTCAGGATGGGTCTTGCGACAAGTTGTCCGGGTGCGGACGAAACTGTCCCATCTAGTGAGCAGGCGAAGCTCTGCTTCTCGTTTACCGGGACGATTGCCGAGTCACATGCACACCGGCTTTCCGCCTTTTCTCTCCAGGTACGGGACCACAGCTCCATAGGTCCACCCTGCCTCTGATCCGCCCACGATCTGGTCTCACACTGGCTTGGACTTGACGGAAAGCGTGGTGAATTACGGATCGTAGCTGCTGTCAGGGCGGTGTGAAACGCTGGCTCTAGCGTACGCTTTGGAATCTTCTGAGGAGCTGCGGGATTTGCGGACACTGCGGATACTCGAGCGACTTGAGAAGCTCACAGCTACTGGATTCTCACTTTTGGATTGATATCATACCGACATCCGTGCGCATTCCAACCTTACTCCAGGAGCTGGACAGGCCTCGAGGAGTCCCACCCCAACTCCGCCTCCGCCTTCGTAGAACTGTCTGAAAACTGCGCCGGCTGGAGCTGAGTATTCACTGGGAACTGCGTTGACCTATCAGTGGATACTGGGCATTTCATAACACAGCTCATGGGTGGCGCCAAGGGGGACAACGACACACAACAATAGTGGACAGATGGTTCATTCGTGCTGTACCGCGCTAATGGGTCTAACTCAAGAACGAGCCCATTCCCCACGTCCCCAATCCTCAAATCCCTGACCCCCATACCCCACATCGAACATCCCCCTCTACGGCAATTGTCAACGTCCCGCACGCACGCCAAACAGCGCACATCCAGCCAGCGCTAGCCAGCTGGCATTACACCAATCAAGGCAGTGCCGGAATATAACACTATGACAGCATAACACTATGACTCTGAGATGACGTATTCCTAGCGCTGGCAGAGTTTGTGTTCGCACCGCGCACAGCACACAGCGTAAGGGGACAGCAGGTAGGTCACGCATGAAGTTCCTATTCATTGAGTAGCCTAAAGGTTCCCGCGCGGTACTGAACCCCGCCGAACGTACGTTAGCATTCACCCGCTTTCGATTTTTCTGGGGTAAAATACGACGGTCACTCGACCCATTCACTAGGGAATTCAGTAGGGACAGGGTAGGGTGACGTAAGCGCGGCCCGAAAATTTCTCAGGCTGGTATGGCATGACCGTGAGCGTTACCGCAGAACGGCGAGTGGAATGCACCGGTAAATTAAAGGCCAGACACGCTAGGTAGAGAGCTTGGTTGGTCGGAACACTGCCCTGCACCGCACTGTATGAATGAATGATGCACCGACAATGATTACAGAATTTACTTGTCCCTGTCTTGTCTTATCCTGACCTGCGTGAGATCCGTGGTCGTCCGACATGTTCAGGGCCCAAGTTCGCTCGGTTTCTCCGCCCCCCGCGGCGGAATTGAAGTGCGTGAGAGAGCGGGAAGGGAGGTGAGTGAGATGGTGACGATAAACCCCTTTGAGTGCTTCGGTTGAAGGTTGGCCAATCAGGAAGGGGTGTTAAGGCCGGGTGGATGTAGCCGGGGGTGACTGGGGGTCGTAGGAAGGTGTGAAATGGTCGCCTGAGCAAACGATGGGACTTTTGGGAGAGGGGGAAGTGAATGAACCAGGTTTGCAGAGACAGTTGGGGGTTGGATAACAGCCTTTTTAGGGGGAAAGAGGAAAGAGGTGCCTGAGTGCCTTGTTTATCCCAGTGCATCGATCGCACGACATCTCCCTCATTCCCCCCGATCTTTGTCTCACCTACCTACCCACCATCTCCTGGTCACCTGTCACTGTCACACCATCCCCGAGCCAAGAGCGCTCAATGTCCCCTCATCATCTCGACATCTTATTACCCCCATACCTGCTTGACTGCTTGACTGTTACTGCTTGACACGTAAGAAAAGAACTTGCTGGGAACGGCCCATCGGATACCGGTCGACACAATACAGTCGAATACATATAATCGCTCCCTTCCCCCGATCCGCACGTAGGATAAGAGATAGGGATTACGAAACAGCACCGGAACGTGCAAACTGCTGTACATTCAGTCCCCTGCTCCGGAGTTCGCTATCAACCAACGTATCGCGTACGTCCACTGTTTGAATAACTTCTCCCCCCC